ATCTCGCGTTGCACAAAAAAAATCGATAGCAGAGCTGAAGGTAATTCACGGGAGATTTGAGCTGAATACACGGTGGGCTGTACATTTTGTTATTCCTTGACAATGGTCTCGAGTGAGAGTCCGAAACTTTGGACAAATAAAATACTGGTCCCAGAGAACGTCTTTCCACCTTCTATTCAATTACCTGGGCCTCGCATATTTTCGAAGTCATACTATTTAAGTTGTTACATTGGCATGGGTTATGTGCCCGCAAGCTGTCTTAAACTGTAGAAGAAATTAACTAATTACATAAATATTCCTTAGACGATAAATATACATTTATTGCTACTAGGATTTTGATTTTGTCCTCACATTATAAATTCACTCGATAATGGTAGCAGACATCCAAAGGATTGACAACCGTTAGTTAGTGACATTTCGGTATCGTTATCAATAAAGACAAACACTATTTAAGTTATTTGGCTATCGTAGATTGCGTAATCCCGCCGACCTGCCAGCATAGGCATGGTGTGGCTGTCATGAATCGTATTAGTTACTGCGAACATTCACTGCAACTGGTAAACCGCAAATTTATACCTTGTACGACTAGAAGCACATAGGGCATATCGTTATTCACATTGCCAATAGAATTGAATGTGCGCGTTCCAGCTGGAAGCACTTCAGACGAAGTGACCACTGGAACAAGAGTTTAATTGTCCTAACGTTTCGGATTCTTTCGGGAATCATAGGTAATCGTACAAAAGCTCGAGTCTACGCACGTCTCAGACTTTTCTACGATTACCAATGAGCATCGACGGAATCCGAGACGTCAGGACAATTAAACTTGAACATAAGAGCTGGCTCCGCCCAGTTTCGAACTGGGGACCTTCTGCGTGTTAGGCAGACGTGATAACCACTACACCACGGAACCGACGTGCGTGGGTAACTTAACAAATTATAAAACTTAAGATAAATTGATAGGCTAGACTGTCGCGAATATTAATCAATTGACGAATCCCGATGGAACATTAAAACAATCCAATAGCTATTTGAAATGATAA